ATCAGTAATGGAGATAAAATAGAATCATTAAAAAAAAGTCAATTCAAAAGAAGGTGGGAAAAGAAGAAAAACAGAATAAAGACTAGATGAAACCAGTAACAGCAGGATTTATAATTACATTAGATGTCAATGGTCAGACATATAATTCTAAGGCAGAGAATATCAGCATATTCTCTACTGCATAAATAAAAAAAAAATCAAGACAACTACAAACTGTCTACCAGGAAGCCACTTTAAATATAAAGACACAGGTTAAAAATAAAAGATTTCCAAAAGGTATATTAGGCAAACTTTTTTTTTTTAAATTAACATTGAACAAGGTCAATACGAGAACAAATATTACTGGAGTGGAGAAAAGGACATTACATAGTAAGAAGAGTCAGTTCATCAAGAAGACAAAATATCCTAATTATTATGCACCTAAGCTCCAAAATACTTGAAGCAAAAACCGATAGAACGTGAAAGAAAGAGTTGTAATCCTAGGACATTGGAGATTTCAACACACCTCTCTCAGTAACTGATAGGATGAGTAAAAATTAGTATTTGAATGGTTTCAGAGCATAAATAAAACATGAAAGTAAATATAAAATAATGAATTTTGTTTCTTAATTTACAAAATTTAAGTCTCAAATTACAAAGATTTAGGAGGGGCAGAGGATAGTCTAGATCTGATACCATAGTGAGAACATAATATTTCAGGCTAAAACCCCAAATCACCACCAGAAATAAATGTGACTATAATTGCAGGCACTCCTTCCCACACTGCCTGTAAGAGGGCAAAGCCAATCTTGGCTAAAGGCTTGAGCCAGGCTTCTGGGAAACATAAGCCACACTGGCCATGACCGTAGCAGTCCCTTGGTTCTATGCATTATAAGTCACTCCTACAGTCATTTCAACATTTGGCAATAATGGGATCCATTACTATCTGAATGGACAAGGTATATATTTTTTAGAATAATTATTTTTATTTTTATAGAGTGAAATTTGAGTGTCTATTTGAGTATAAAGTGAAACCAAATTTCTTAATTCAAAAGGAAATTACTGGTTAGCTACCACTCCCAAGCATATAAACTCAGCCCAGGGAGCAATATCCTTTGCAAGAAGCTGAATTTATGGTAACCAAAATTATAAAACACTGTAATGAAAAGCAAGAGTCATATCCATGAACTTCCTGGCACCTCCTTGTAGCAAACTCAGAAATGAGCCTATGCAAAGGTTTTTTGTTTTGTTTATAACAGAGCTTTAAAATGAAAATTTTAATTTCCAAAAATGATACATTTTTTTCCTCTGAGTAGCTTGAGGATAACCGTTAATCTTTTCCTTAGAGGAAAAGCTTTTCCATCCTGGGACCTAGAAGGAATGTCCATTTCAATGTCTATGATATACCTGTATTTTGAAGATATTATCTCAAATAATCCTCAAGAAAACCCTAATGAGGTAGAGGTTTACCTATTCCCAAATCACATTTTTTTCTTAAGCCTGTTTCCTTACTGAAAAACTAAGAAATGTGGACTAAGGGATGTCTAAATTTCCCTCAGCTTTAATATTTCATGATTCCATGTAAAAGATTCTGGTGTTTATCCCTAGAAGCTTATAATTTGCTTGGGAGTTAAATATAAGTAAGTTTAGTCACCAGCAAAAAGTACAAATAACCTAAACCAAGCAAAAATGATCAATATAACTTGAGTCATGAATGGTTCTGAGAAATCAGGCTAAAGCCCAGGCAGTTAGAATGTAAGATACAGACCAGACTGGAAGCTAAGAGAGAAGAGAAGGAAGGGGTGGTGGGAGGAGAGGGTAAGAAGGACGGGGGAGGATAAGGGAGGGAAAGAGAGGAAAGACAGAGAATTTTTTGTTAGCCAAGACACTGGAGAGATTAATGCAAAAATGATAACTGAGTTCCATTGGTCCCTCTAGAAATACTTAACTGTAAAGACACACACCAAGAATTATTGAACTAAATGTCTAGCCATGAACAAATTTTTAGCAGCTAAATTTGATACTGCTAAATAGTGAATTATACGGATTTTCAAACCAATTATTAAGCAAAAACCCCTTCTACGTGACAGTTTCAGGGTAGCATCTGTATTGCCCGAGGCCTACCCAGGAAATCCAGATGTGTCTCATTGAGCACAGGATGCTATTTAAAAAGATGAAAAACTGGGGCGCCTGGGTGGCTCAGTCGTTAGGCGTCTGCCTTCCGCTCAGGTCGTGATCCCGGAGTCCTGGGATCGAGCCCCGCGTCCGGCTCACTGCTCCGCGGGAAGCCTGCTTCTCCCTCTCCCACTCCCCCTGCTTGTGTTCCCTCTCTCGCTGTGTCTCTGTCAAATAAATAAAAATCTTTTAAAAAATAAATAAATAAATAAAAATAAAAAGATGAAAAACTAATCAACCTCGAATGCAGCCTAGTTCTGAAACTAAAAACTTGTGTTTTTCTTTTCCTAGCGGCAAACAGGGCTCCGGAGGTGGTAGGGGCACCTTGTACTTTGTAAATATCTCCCTGACTTTACTCAAGTTCAGCTATTCCAACCACATCTCTGAAAAATTAGCTGGGGTCTGGAGTGCTGACTAGAAAAACAGGATGTGTCCTCTGTGTCCCTAGTCCTTTAAATAAATCATCGCAACCCTCCAGTTACGGAACGACTAAGTCACCGGAATAAGACGTACAGCATCGGGACTCTAGTCAGTGATACTGTAATAGCACTGTATGGTGACAGACGGCAGCTACACTGGTGGCGAGCACAGCGCCAACGTATAGACACGCCGAATCACTCTGTTGTACACCTGAAACTAATGTAACATTGTATGTCAACTACTCAAATTTAAAATTTTTAAAAATTAAAATTAAAAATAATCACAACCTGCCTAAGCTAAGAAAATTTTCATAAAGACCCATCTTTCAGGAAGACTCTTCCGGCTACCTAGCCTGTGCTTCGTGCCAGGACACATGTACCCACACTGTCACTTCTAGCCTGGACCATCCTCCAGCTGGATCCTATCCCCTGCCTTCCAGTTCTGGTTGCCATGTCTATCACAGGGCCACCTCTTGGTTTTGGTAACCAGTCCGGAGCCCAATGAGGGGATCGAACTCACGACCCTGAGATCAAGAGCTGAGCTAAGATCAAGAGTCGGAAGCTTCGCTGACCGAGCCACCCAGGCGTGACTCCCCGACCAAGTCCGGAGCTTCTTTATTGCCTCAATAACTTACTTCCACTTCCTGCCCCTGTTGTCCCTGCCCCACCCCTCACCCCACCCTTACTGCTTGGTATGGTTCCACTTTTTTTGTCTCCCTCCAAACTAAGGCTGCCTCGGCCATGCTGGACTACATTCAGAGTGAGGATACCGGGCAAGTTATCTAATCTCTCTGTGTCTCAGTTTCATCATCTGTAGTATAAGCATAATAATAATACGGGGGCGCCTGGGTGGCTCAGTCGGTTAAGGTCTGCCTTCGGTTCAAGTCATGATCCCAGAGTCCTGGGATCGAGCCCCGCATCGGGCTCTCTGCTCTGCGGGGAGCCTGATTCTCCCTCTCCCTCTTCCCCCCCCCCTTGTGCTCTCTTGCTATCTCTGTCACCATCTGTCTCTCTCTCAAATAAATAAATAAAATCTTAAAAAATAATAATAATACATACTTCATAGGGATGATATGAATAATAAAAAGAGTTTATAAAATATGTAAAACAGGGCCTGGTACAGAATAAGCACTACCACTATTATTATTATTATTTCTTCTTTGTTTTTTCCAGGTTAAGTGGTAGCTGCAGCGACACCACCCTTCCCTGTGCAGCCCGAGTGCAAGCGCACGTGGAGCTGTCCCGTCAGCTCTCCTGGCTGTGTGGTAAATGGTGACGACGTGGAAGCAGCCCTGGGGACCCGCCTCCAAACTTGCTTCCTCTCTCTAAACCCACAGGAATGGCTCCTGCACGAGATGTTCTGAAAGTAGAGCCATTTCTGGTTTAAAAATCTAATATTCCCTACAAATCATTCATAGAGGCCAATACTCTAAATTCAATGCAGATGTAAAAGGTTATGGAATGTTGCAAGCTTGTTTATCTGCATTGCCAATCATCCATCACTTCTGGCTCAATGCTTCAAAAATATATTTTCACAGCACCGACTTAAGTGTTTAGAAGAACTAGCGTAAAAAGGAGGGCAGAATGGCAGGCAGACAGAGCCAAAGATGATACAAGGAATAAAAGGCTCCAAGTCTGGGGTCACCGACCGTATGGCCTTGGCATTCATTCTGTCTCCCTGAGGTGTCTGCTCATACGTACAACTGGGATGACAGTGAACCACGCTTATGCAGGGGTTTGGTAGGGGTCACAAATGTCTCCTGAATCAAACCACAAATAATTTAAGGCTGTGAAGGTTCCTAGGAGGGCCTATAAAAATAATTCCTTAAGTGGGCAAACAGGATAATATTTAATGTTACTATTTAGCATACTGAAAACCTGATGAAGAACAAAGAGAAGATAATCTTTGAGTACTACATATAGTGATAAGGACTCATAATTAAAGGACAGAAGCCCTTCCACAGGAGACATCTGAAAACAGATCTAGAAAAGACCAAGAAGCAAAGGACTTAAAATAGCACCCCTTGAAACAAGAGAATAACTTTCTTCTCTTTTCTCAAAAGCAATATAGTATGCAAATAACAAAAAACATTTTTTAAAAATTTGAAATTACCTAAAGGTCTCTATAGAAAACTTCTAAAGTTTAGTCTCAACCAAACATCTACTGACAGTGCACACACCTCACACCATAGCTGTAGGTTCAGGAGAACCTAAAGGATTAGAAGAGACCACATGAGGAAAATAAAAAATAATAATCCCATTACTCATTAAATTATGACTAATGTTCTACATATGGGCAGAACAAAAACTAGATGCCATTTTTAAAAACCCCCAACACCAAATAATAAGTCAGGAAAGGAATACAAATCACCATACCACGTTTGCATCTTATTAGGGACTACAGAGTAAAAAAGAAAAGTAACTTGCCTCTATAGCAAAGATTCCTTTGTCACGCCCATATAATTTCATCTCTTCTGGAAAATGCTGAAAAGCATTTAAGTAAGGAATATGGCCCTCTTCAACGAATCTGTATTTTCAAAAAGAAAGTGTCAATAAGAGATATGTACTGATTTAGCAAAGTGGGACAAACGAGCTGAAGATGTGTTTCAAAGACCAGGTGAGAACCAGTTGAGCACGTTGCATCTCCCACATGTTTTTAAGGAGGGTAAATCTGAAAAGATCAGTTATTCTCTACACCCATGTGTGGAGAAAACATTTAGCCAATTATCTAATGATACCTTAAGTTTCTGACTAACTAGATGAAATATTTCTATGAAGTATGTGTCTTATTTGTCAATTCACTACCAGGCTTGCAGACACAGCATCCTTCTATCCCTAGCTCCCCTCACATGATGAGCATCTACTCTTCTTCTAAATCACTCTCTCGAGGAGACCTCCCTGGGTCCATTTTCCTTTTTAGAACACCTCCCTTGTCTACCTGCCTGTCCTCAGTCCCTCCGAGAGTGCACAGGAGATGCCTGCCCCTAGAGATAATTCAGGGAAGGAACCTTGCCCATCTGCTTACCACTCCATCCCAACGTCCAGTACATAGCAGCTGATCAAATATTTTGAGTAAATTGAGTTTGGAGAAAATAGCATATATATATAAATAAATACACATATATATTTATTTATAATTCATTCATTAAGTCACAGAAATTTATCAAGTACTAAAACGCAGCACTATTTGAGGCTGTGGGCAAACAGCAATGAACAAAATAGGAAAATATTCTTGTTCCCAAGGAGTTTTATGTTCTCATGAAAAGAGATGACAAACAAAACAAATGAATGAAATCTATCGTATGTTAAGTGGGTAAAGATGGTAAAGAGAACAATAAAGCAGGGAAGAACATGGAGTGAGGAATGGGGGTATTGCAACCTAGGCCATATATATATATATCTCTATTAGATTTTTTAAAAAAGATTTTATTTATTTATTTGACAGAGAGAGAGAAAGAGAGCACGAGCAGGGGGGAGGAACAGAGGGAGAGGAAGAAGGAGGCTCCTCAATGAGCAGAGAGCCCGGCGTGGGACTCAATCTCAGGACTCCAGGATCATGACCTGAGCAGAAGGCAGACACAACCAGCTGAGCCACTGAGGGACCCCTATCTATTAGATTTTTAAAATATGAAAATAGTTAAGGAAAATAAGATAAAGATGGGAATAATTTAGTATACAAATGTTTTGCATTAAAATCTTTGTTGTTCTTACAGCTAAACTGACATCTAGCTTCTAGCTTTGTGTGTGTGAACGAGCTTTAATTTCAAATTAAAAATATGATTTCTTTTAGTCTACTGAAAGTTGAGAATTAAAGTAAATTATATGTAAAAAGGGTGTTGTATGAAGTTTAACAATAAAGCAGGCTTCTTTAGAACAGCGCTATAGGGAAAACCATCCTCATTTAGATTTTTATTCATTTCTTTCATTTACATAAAAGTATGTGTGCATCGTAATCAGTATTCATATTATTTTATTTTATTTATTTATTTATTTTTTTAAAGATTTTATTTATTTATTTGAGAGAGAGAATGAGATAGAGAGAGAGAGCATGAGACAGGGGAGGGTCAGAGGGAGAAGCAGACTCCCTGCCGAGCAGGGAGCCCGATGCGGGACTCGATCCTGGGACTCCAGGATCATGACCTGAGCCGAAGGCAGTCACTTAACCAACTGAGCCACCCAGGTGCCCAGTATTCATATTATTTTAGAACTACATTCTTGGTTTAATATTATTTCATATACAGTATGTATTGCATGCTTATCATTTTATAACTATGTAGTGTTCTATGATGTTAATATATTCATAATTTACATAGTCATCGCCCCCATATGATAATACACATATGCCAGCCCTGTGTGAGGGTTAGTTCAGAGTCTTATAATAAAACATGAAAAGCCCCACCACGGCCCTGGCAGGACAGGCAGACGGGCAGTGGATGCGTCAGTAAAGACAGTGCCCCACAGAGACACACGCACAGTGCTGTAGGAGCAGAGGAAGAAATGAGAAACCTGACCAGGGAAAGCAGAGCAGGTCTTGGCCATCTGGGGTTTTAACAATTTTTACCATTTATAATAGTGCTGCTCGTAATCTCTTTTCAAGTTTGGTGGGTTTTTAAAAAATTTCCTTTTAGAAAAATATATACTTTTCCAAAAGATAGCTATTGAATCAAAGCTCTGAATAATCGATTTCATTTTGTTAAGTATTGTCAGATGAGTCTCTGAATCAGTCCAGCAAGTTGACAGAGGATTTGCCATAGACTAAAAGCATCCCATATGCCCTGCCTGGCCATGTCCCCTGAAAACAGAGTCTCTATTTATAATTTTGTTGTATTTTTCAGAAGTTTCAATCTGTGATAGATTGGAAATTTAAAAAATTGGTTCTTATCACAGATAATTTAAGAAGTACTGCACTGGAGTTAGGTCGTGTCTACCTGCAAACACACCTAGAGCCCATTCACCTTGTTCCATTTCAATTGCCACCATCCTACTCCAAGCCACTATCTCTTGCCAGAAATATAGCAAAAGACTACCTGGTCTCTCTGCTTTCACCCTTGCCTCCCTAGAATCCATTTTCCTTATAGCTGATTGAATGGTCAGAGAATGTCTTCCCTGCTAAAATCTTCCGGGGGCTTACTATCACACTCAAAAGCCAAATTCCTAATGAATATTAGGGGTTTCCTTCTGGAGTGATGATTATGCTCTGAAAATAGGCTTACTATCACACTCAAAAGCCAAATTCTTAAGGCATATTAGGGGTTTCCTTCTGGAGTGATGATTGTGCTCTGAAAATAGAGGTGATGGTTGCACAACCTTGTAAATATCCTGAAAACCACTAAATTGCACATTTAAAAGGGTGAATTTTACCATATATGAATTGTACCTCAATTAAAAAAAAAAAATCCAAACTAGCCTGGCTCACAAAGACCTGTACCTGGCCCCTGCTTATTTTTATCGCTCTGTCCTCACCCTCCTACTGCTCCTTCAAATTCTTACTCCTATTGCACGAGCCTCCTCTGCTCCTTGATCACAGAACTTGCTCTAGCTTGAGGGCTTGACACTAGCAGCCTCTTTCTACTTGGAGCGCTAGTACTGCTGATACTCACCTGCCAGCTCTACTTCCGTTCAAAGAGCTTCTCAGTGAGGCCTTCCCTAATGACCAGTCTAAAAGAGCCATCACTTGATGCCAGTCTTCTGCATAGCACTTCACTGTTTAATCATTATTTATTGAAATGCTTGTCTGTTTCCTCCTTCAGTCTTGAACTTTACGAGAGCAGGAACTTGTTCTCTATGGTTCACAACTGTGATTCAAGGGTCTAGACTCTAGAAAAATACCTGCATCTAGTCGGTATTCAATAAATATTTGTGGAATGAATACACGTTGACTGTTCTTATTTATTATTGTTGTTATCACTAGGTAGGCAGGGTTATTTTTATTCTTTTAAAGATTTATTTATTTGAGGGGCATCTGGGTGGCTCAGTCCGTTAAGTGTCTGCCTTCAGCTTGGGTCATGATCCCAGGGTCCTGGGATCAAGCCCCACATCGGTCTCCCTGCTCAGCGGGGAGCCTGCTTCTCCCTCTCCCTCTGCCTCTCCCCCTGCTTGTGCTCTCTCTCTCTCTCTCAAGTAAATAAAATCTTAAAAAAAAATTTATTTGAGAAAGAGAGTGATCAAGCAGGAGGAAGGGCAAAGGGAGAGAGAGAATCCCAAGCAGACTCTCCACTGAGCACAGACCTGACACAGGGCTCAATCCCATGACCCTGAGATCATGACATGAGCCGAAATCAAGAGCCGGATGCTCAACCAACTGAGCCACTTAGTTCCCCAGACAGGGTTAATTAAAGGCTACTTTGAGTTATGAATTTATCCTAAGGACTATGGGTACTGCTAAAGGATTTAACCTGGGGAATGACATGCAGGATGAGTATAAGATATAGGGGTACTGGGGCCAGACTAATAATGTATTTCCTTCACACCAATGTTTTTAAAATACTTTTTCCCAGTTTGGTGGTAGTTCTCAAACATTAGCATCCATAAGAATCCCCTGGATGGCTTATTAAAACAGAGTTACCAGGCCCTACCCCCAAGTTTTTGATTCAGGTTAGAATGGGTTAGAATCTGGTTAGAATTTACATACTCATAAGTTCCTAGGTGATGCTGATGCTGCTGGTCAGGGAACCACACTTTGAGAACCTGTGACTTAGAGCTCCGTCTCTGAGAAAAATAAAGTGGATCAGTGGTAACAGTCCCCTTTCCTGTTGCTCCAAGCACTTAGGCTCAGTTCCCAAATGTGTATCCCACAGAGCAAAATAAAAGCCCTCCAGCTAATTAGATCCAATCTCCTTGAAGGCACTTCAGAATTCTCCTTTAAGGGAGGGGAGGAAAGAGGAAGAAGGTGGAACAGAAAGGGAGAGAGAGAAAGACAAATGTGTAGGATTTTACCCCCATCCTTCCAACCACATCTAATATTCTCCCTAAGAAGAATTACAGGTGAACATTATTTTCTCCATCTTGTTAGGTTTCTAGGAGTCTCGTTACTCCCTTACAGATTGCCCTGGGTAGTTGGACGGCCCCTCTACCCAGCTCTAGTGACATGATTTGATTGTTGTTTCTGTAAGATTCCTGTGCTATGGAAAGGAAAATGGATAGGAGAGGCACAAGACTGTAGGCACAGGGCCCACTTAGGAGGTTGCTAAGTAATCCAAGTGAAGATATAGAGGGAATGGGGAGAAAAATGGTTTCAAGGGTTGTTTTAGAAGTATAACTGACAGGATGTAATGACTGACTGTAGCTCTAGAGAGAGGAAAGAGTCAAGGATGAATCTTAAGTTTCTGGATAGGAAGAAATGGAGTGTGTGATATTTATAGAGGAAAGAAAACACTGAAGGAGCTGGATTAAGGAGAAAGATGATGAAAGATGGACTTCTTTTCATCATGCTGATTTTGAGATATCATAAAGACACCCAAGTAGTGTCCAACAAACAGGTAGTTGTATGTATGAATATATGAGTCTGACCCTCACTAGACAAGTCTGGACTGCAGAAATAAATTTGGGCGTCGTCATCATCATATAGATGGTAATTAAAGCCTTGGGAGAAGATGAGATCACCCAATGAAGGCATATAGAGCAAGGTGAGGTTTTTAACTTAACAGTAAAATTCATTGAATCATGGACTATCTGCATGCAGAATTAATCACCTCTGAGAAAAGCCTTGTTATTTGGTTGATGTGGCCAAATTCAAAGGCACTATCATCATTTACTGGAGGCATTTTATTTAATCAAAGGGCCTAGTACTGATGATGATGATGATGAAGAAAACAAAACAATAATAACTAGCATTGAGTTCTTATTATGTGCTAGGCACTGTCCTGAGTGCTTTTCATGCAGTAGTAATTACTGGAAGTAGTTACAACTCTGTGAGGTAGATGTTATTATCAGCTCCATTTCACCAAGGATGAAACAGAGGCAAAGAGAAATTAAATAATTTACTCAAGGTCACATATAAGTGGCACAGCTAGGATTCAAATCCAGAAGTCCGGTTCCAAATCTGTGCTCTTAAAATCACTCCACACACTGACTAAACCCAAATGTTATTATTTAGAATACATATAAAGCAAGGGAAATATGAACACACTAATGATTTTGGCACATCTTCTATTTAATGAGAAAGTCTTATACACAGTGCCCTAATTAACTCATTAACTATAAAACACTGTAAATTATCTTGAAAAAACATAAATACTGACCATCTACTAAGAGGTTTTTCTAATAGTTCTGTTTTCAGCTTATCTTATAAACACAGAGAACCTATATTCTAGCTCTTACCGACACCAATGTAAGCTACTGTGGAGCTACTAATAACCATTTGCCAATATGAAGGTCATCTGTTCATCTTCTCTCTTAGAAATGCAAAACACTTAATACTACCACTAAGGTACTTCAGTGTCACTTTTCATCTTTAGAGCATTTTACTCACGTTAGATAATTAATTTTCCAACACCCCGTGTAAGGTAAATACCATTATTGCACTATATGAATAAGGAAACCAAGGAGATGAGTTACCAGCCAGAAGAAGATTACATTTCAGAACTAGAACTCAGGCTACCCAATCTTTCCTGTCTCTCCCTCAATTTAAGTCTCCTTGTAAAATTCAAGATATCCAAAGTTTGTCCCCTAGTTCACACAGATAATCAGCAAAGACATCATTATACGAGAGGTCGAGCTTACCTCAAAAGATCTGAAAGAGTAATTGTTTCTCTCTGCCACAGTAATGACAGATAGCAGAAAGCAAGTGTCCTTGGCACCGTCATCTTCACGATTCCCTTCTCCTTTCGTAGTGAATATTCGACTCCATCGAGAGATCCAGAACAGATGGATGCTGTTTCTTAGGGGATAATGAAGATTTTTTTTTTTTTAAGTGCAGGTAACTATTTGGACAACAAAAGAAGAAAAACAACAAGAAGAATCCAAAGAAGCATTTTCAATATCTTAAAATCAAGTTATAATTGATACAATCTTTGAAAGAACAATTTGGCAATAAAGTGCAATGACGGCTTAGAGGAAATTGACCAAAAAGGTACTCGTTGGTTCTTTATGGGAGTGGGATGGGCTGAGATTCTAAAGAGGGATGTGACCTGCTTGAATTTCTTATAGTGAATAGGAACAATTTTTCAAATAAATACAAGAATAAACAATTACAAAGCAAAGCAAAAAGTATGTAACTGCTTTGATGCAGGCCCCAACCCACATGTCCCTTTAAAGGTCTGAGAGGCTCTCCAAAACACTAGCTAGGAGAGTACACAGGACTTTGTAGGTCACGTTTTGTACTTTGGATTTTATTCTGGATATTATAAGAAGTTTCTGGAGAGTTTTAAACAGAGGAACAACCTGATTTCATTTGTATTTTTAAAAAGCTCTCTCTGGCTGCTACAGGAAGAATGGAGCTATAGGAGGGCCGGAGTGGACACAGACCACCACCATTAAGGACAGCAATGACAAGCACTTGGACTGGAGTGGTGGCAGTGCAGGTGGTGAGAAGTGGCTGGAATCTGGACATATTTTGAAGCCAGGGTCAGAAGAATTTGCTGGTGGACTGAATGTGAAATATGAGGGAAAAAGAGAAGTCAAGTGTGATCCTGAGAGTTTGGGCCTGAGCAACCAGGAGAATGAAAATGCCATTTACTGAGACACGGGAGATAGCAAAAGAGCAGGTTTGATGAAAGAAACCAAGGTTTTAGAATTGCATGTGTTAAATGTAAGATCCTATTAACTGTACAAATGGAAATGGTAAGTAGGTAGTTGAATATAAAAATCTGTAGTTAAAAAAAAAAAATCTGTAGTTCAGAAAAGAACCTAGAGATAGAAATTTCTGAGTCATCAGGATGTAGCTGGTATTTAAAGCCAGAAGTAGGATAAGTAGAAAGCAGGACTAAGAATGACCTCAAGAGACTCCACGCTTTCTTGGACAAAACTCTCCAAATTATTTCTCAAAATCCCTCTTTCCAAATCCTATAAATCCTTTCTTCATAGCATTTATCAATAACTGAACTTTTTAATAAATGTGTGCACTTACTGTCCAGCTCCTCCTACAACAATCTAAGCACCTTGAAGGCAGACAGCCTTGCTCATCACTGTGTCCCCAGGGCCCCAAGCAGGCTCTAGCACAAAGGAGGAACCCAATAAATATTTGGTGACAAAGAGGCTAGCAGTTCAAGATTTTTTTTTTTATTTTTTATTTTATTTTTATTTATTTATTTATTTATTTTTTAAAAGAATTTATTTATTTGAGAGAGAGAGAATGAGAGAGAGCGAGTACATGAGAGGGGGGAGGGTCAGAGGGAGAAGCAGACTCCCTGCCGAGCAGGGAGCCCGATGCGGGACTCGATCCCGGGACTCCAGGATCATGACCTGAGCCGAAGGCAGTCACTTAACCAACTGAGCCACCCAGGCGCCCCAGCAGTTCAAGATTTTCACCAGAGTGAAAAGATTTTTAAAATGTGCAAAGAGGGCCGTGTGGGTGGCTCAGTCGGTTAAGCATCTGCCTCCGGCTCAGATCATGATCCCAGAGTCCTGGGATCGAGTCCCACATCGGGCTCTCTGCTCAGCAGGGAGCCTGCTTCTCCCTCTGCCTGCCGCTCCCCCTGCTTATGCTCTCTCTCTCCGACAAATAAATAAAATAAAATCTTTTAAATAAATAAATAAAATATGCAAAGATTCAAGGTCAAGACATGTTGTGGCAGTACTGTTTATAATATGAAACAAATTTAAAACAACCAAAGTGACAGGAGTAGAAATTTAATTAAATAACTCTACACAATGGAATACTACATACCAATTCACTCAATGCTTAAGTCGGTGGTTCTCAAAGTATAGTCCCTATAACAGGTGTATTAGCATCACCTGAGAACTTATTATAGATGCAAATTATTGAGCCTACCAATCTATATATATATAGATTTCAATAAAGTATTATGTTAATATATATATGTATATATATATATAAAATAGAGAGAGGCTCTCCAACATATAGAGGTTTCCAGTTAAGATGGCAGATTGAAGACACATAGTAGCCTCTGCTCTGTCCCACTACAACAATTATACAGGAATTTTTAAGATAGATATAAACTCAAGAACTAACAACATGGAGAAGGAGACAACAGCAATAAAATTTTAAAAGCTGGAAAGCATATGTACAGGTGATTACTGCCTTAGCAGTGTTGAGAAAGCTGGATTCAAAGCCAGCAGAAGGGAAAACTATAAACCAATGTAACTTTCCCCTGGGGACCCCTAAAGAAAGCTCCAGAATTGGTTAAATCCTGGAAATTGGGTGAAAGTAGGTCTAACACAAGAGAGATTGCCCGAAAGTTGATTGAGAGAGACGCAGTCAGATACTCAGACTCCTGCCCCAACTCTGTGCAGCAAATGCCTGCCCCCCACTTCCTAATCTGGGCAGGAAATTAGAAGTTTCTCCTCTGGAGAGAGTAAAACAAAGGGTCTCTGGAATAGGGCATGTCAATCATATACACAGTTGAGAATAGGGTGTATTATTAAAAACGGGAAGATTAAGTGAAAGTGTACATATTGAGTACTGAGACAGCCCCCAACCCCCACACACCCCTCAGGCTTTCTACCCACCTAGTTCCTAAACAGCCAGGATTACACCCTCCAAACAGACGACTCAAAGAGATTTCTCTTGAAAATCCTATCAGCTCAGGGGGAAAAGATTTAAAGACGATAATGCTGGAGGCTTGCTAAGAAAATAATCCAGCTAGATCATGCACAGCACAACTAACAAAACTCTCCATGGGTAGAAGGCTTTCACTCAATTTTTTAGTCTCCATTCTTAAGAAGACTAGCTATAATAGGCTCATAAACATTTGAAGAAACTCTCTAATACAAAAAGCAGAGAACAAAAGGATCAAGTCAAGGGGGTATATTATCAATATCATATCAATATCCTCAGTAAAATAAGAAAAGATGCACTACAAAAATGATGGAGTAAACCAGGAAAAGATGAAACACAGTCAAGGAAATAAGGAATTTAACAAAAGAGGGATAAGAAAATTTTCAGGATGTTGGTAAAGAGATCCCAAAGATAGCTGGGTCATAGGTTTAGAGATATATCCTTGTAGATTAGAGTAGGTCAGAAGTTCCACAAAGATTTCTTCCAGAATATGAAATTGGTAGAATATCTAAGAAATTGAGAGATTTTCAGAACTGGGAGGAAATGTGGAGATACACTACTAATAAATTATAGATTGGTAATTAAATAGAAAACTAAATAACAAGGCAATTATCAACTCTGGGAAAACAAAAATATGTATAGAAATGTAATCATAGTAAGCTATATGGCTCACATTAAATATTGGGCTAGTAAAAAATTATAATTATATTGGGAAGAAAGAGAAAAAGAAATGCACAATTGTGTGCTGGTGACTACATGGGGAGAGGAGCAGTGAGGAATGTGTGAAATAGCCAAGACTTCATCTTTTATAGTGGGAATTTAACAGCTAATGTCCAAAAGCAGAAATCAAGATGTAGTACTAGAAGCATATGATATGGAGCTAAGGAAGTTGCCGAAGAGCTGAAAATGAATGCCTCTTGGGAACAGCACATTTAGGGGAACAAGGGACTATAACCTTTTCATAACAAGTTTTATAAATATTTTTAAATTACATGCACGTAGGATTTTGATTAAAAATGTAAAGAATAGCACACATTTTTGTAAAAACAAATAATAAAACTCTTTCCCTCTCTCTCTATATATACATGAATAAAAAACTTTCTGGAATGATCTACCACAGCAATGTGGTTATTTTTGGATGGCACAATAACTGGTGATTTTTTCTTTGTGACTATTTGTATTTTAGAGTTTTGAAATAAGGGTTATATTCGTAGTTACTTTAAATGTAAAAACTAAAATAAAGCTGTAAGGATCATCACTTACTAAAAAACAAACACACAAACAAAAACTCTTAACATAGGTAAACAATCATGGTGCTCTAAAAGGCTTGGACGATTTGAGAGTCCTAGTTGTCTGGGACAATTTGAGTTCAGGCCTGCCTGAAAGCATGGAGCCAGAAACTCCAGAGATTCACTGCTGCCCAATTATTCTATCATCCTAACTTCTTTACTTCTTTGGACACAGAAAGTAACTTATCTGATATCTGTGTCACTGTGCAGTCCAGCAAGTAATGCGGATATACTGATAAAAGGAATTTTTACTCTTTGGAGGGCAAGAGGCTTGCAAAGCAGCAGTCCATACAAAAAATGTTTTGTTGAAAATTTTATATAACCACACAATCCAGATTTCCACAATCCCTAACACCAGACAGTTTGGAAGCTATTTCCCAAAGAACTCTGTCAGCACACATCAAGATTCTAGTAATCTATAATAAGAGCCTGGTCTGTTCTTAGAGGTCTGTTTTCCATCATGTTGTTTTAAAAAAAAAAAAAAAATGTAGCGTGGAAACAACAAAAACCATGAATAAATACTTTGAGAAGGTCTGTATCTGTTACCTTAAACATACTCCTTATCTATTTTAGATTATGGAATTAAATCAGAGAGTAAAACTCACACACATACACATGATATGGTAAGTTGTGCTTCAGTCTATGCTTAGAAATTGGACATACCGTCTTTGACTCTTACCTATTTGACCATATGGCTAAGATCTATCATCTCTCTATTGCAACTTTTCTTTGAAAATTCTGAGCCCACATATATATGATCTCTGTTAGCTAGCTTCCTTCTCTCTGGATCCACGTATTATTTAAGTTCCTTTAAAAATCACACAAAAATACTCATGTGGAAACAATGTACCTTTTTAAAAATTGCACTGAGATTTCATTTAATTTACCTTTCTCCTAGCCAAATGATTTAGCAAATCATTCTCTCTTGCTAGGCCAAGTTCCTTTCCTTGCAATATGAAAAGATTAGACTAAATTATTTTTAAGGCGCATTATCAGCTTTAAAATTCCAGATAGTCTGATTCTCATTTTTACCTGATTGTGATGCTTTGCTGATGGGGAAAGGCTTCTGAGTGCGGCCATCAGGCTGAGAGTCTGTTCCACTTTCAACAAAAGAACGGCAGCTAAAGTCACTCAGCAGGTCAGGCTCACTATCCCAGTCTGAATGACTTGGGTTATCTTCTAATACCTATTTGCAAAATATCACACATAAAGTTATTACATTGGAATTTAAAATGCAATTAATTTCCATGAGCTTCCAAGTCCTGCCTATCTGAAACACCATAAAGTAAACTACTCTAGAGAACTGCAACTATCTGCCATTCCTAAAACTACAAGACTTTTACCTCTACAATGTGCTCCCCAGCTGTTCCTGGAACACTTCTGGAGAAAGGCTACAGACAAGGGTGAGCAAGGGAACAGGCTGCCAGCAGACACATCAGGCTTCCTTCTCCCTCTAACTAACATCTCTCTTGTAGCCCTAGTAGCCACACCAATAAAAACATCAATAATGACTCCTGCACAATGCTGGCTTCTCTTCACTGAGCCTACCTGGGAATTTTTGCTTTGTATCTTTGTTAATTCCATTTCTCCTGCCCAGACTAGCCTTTCTTCTCTTTCTCTCCAATTCATTATTTACTCTATCATGCAGTCTTTCCAACCAACTCTTCTTCAATGAGTTCTCGATTTCCTGAACTCCTGTGGCACTTTACTATTTATAACACTTAACTGACAAGGATATACTAACTGATACCATTGTTTAATTTTTCACATATGTATTGTTGAAATGGTGGTCACAGTGTTCCTAAGAAAGGTCAGCTGGCTGGCTATCTAAAGGCCTCATTAGCTGACATAACCTTGGGGAAACTGATCACAGTTAAAAAGTCACATTATCAGCCACGCAGACCAAGAAACTCAATCTTATCAAGAGGAGGTAAGACTCATGTTAAGGAAATTCACAAGAGAATAAAGCAAAAAAATAAAAAATAAAAAAATCAGGGATGAGATGCTTGTGTCATCTGTCAAGTACCTCCCCTCTCTACAGGTAAGCATATGAAACAAGGTACACCATAAAACTGGCAGACAAGCATGGACTGATTGAGAAATTTGAAGCAATCACAGAAGAAAACGTCCACAAGCTTATGCAGACAAACATCTGCCAGGAATTTGACCACATACTCTACTCTCTGTCTGATTCTTCTGGTGAACTATCCAAGCTGCCATCTAAAAAGCCAGTTTTGGGGCGCCTGGGTGGCTCAGTCGGTTAAGCAACTGCCTTTGGCTCAGGACATGATCTCAGGGTCCTGGGATCAAGCCCCGCATCGGGCTCCTTGCTCAGTGGAGAGCCTGCTTCTCCCTCTCCCTCTGCCCCTCCCCACCACCTGTGCATGCTCTCTCTAATAAATAAATAAAATCTTAAAAAAAAAAAAAAAAGCCAGTTTTTCCCTCTGGGCACCCAATCCCACCCTTTCTACTCAAAGATTATCTATCCCTCATTTCTATTTTCCCTCTCCGCATTGAGAATCTCTTCTCTCCTGTATTATTTCTAACAGTACACAAATATGCTATCATTTATCCACTTAAAAAAAGAAAAACTTTCCTTGACTCCAGCTACAATATAATTTCTATGTACTTCTTTGCAGCAATATGCCTTGGAAGAGTTATCCAGACTCACCGTCTCCAATTTCTCTCTTCCCAGTCTATCTTATACCTCATTCTAATCAAACTTGTGACTCCACTGTTCTACTCATCCAATTTTAGCCCTTTTCCTTCCTGACCAGGCAACAGCATTTCCCAGTTGATCAATCCCCTCTTCTTGAAACATTTTGCTCCTTGGATTCCAGAATGCCCCCTCACTCTCCAGGCTTCCTCCTAATTTACCAGTTGCTCCTCAGAGTTCTTTGTAGGTTCTGCTTTTATCCCAGACATCTTCATCCGACAGTGGCCCAGAGCTCAGTCCTTGGTCCCCTTGTCTTCACTCCTCAGTGATGTCATCTGGTCTTGTGGTTTTAAACACTACCTACAATGTTGTTTTCGACTCTAAAATGCACTGCCTTTTCCCCATATTTTAGTATCCCTGACATCAGGGTGTATCTTACAACCAAGGGCATGTCACAGTTTGATTTGCAGCATTATTTTCTTTCTTGCGGATATTTAAAATAATGGTGT